AGTACATAGGTACACGTCAGAAATATACAAAACAACTTATTATTATTATTGTACCTATACACTATTTAAAATTAATCGGAACAATCGGAAGAAGTATCTCGTGTAACTGTCATTACGTTAGATGTTCCTCCTTCTTCAAAATCTTCAGTAATGAAATCGATATTGAACAATTTATCTTCTTCTTTGATGGTAGTGTGTGTGACGAAATTGGCCCACATGTCTGGCGTGTTACGAGATTGACGGTATCGACCAGTAATTTTTATTATATTTTACGTGATTTTTCACAGCCGCCCACGCCAACTCTCTCTGGTCAAACTCACAATGGTAAGGCGGCAAAGGCAATAGTCAAGGTGTCTTTTGATTTTCGGCCGTACCTTGCGCCCCACCAAGTCATTTATCAAATATGTATAAAAATTGACGACATCAACTTGGAAAGACAATATTAATACATTAATGTAATATGGAAACTAACTATGGAGTATACGTACTCCACTATTGTTATGTGGGTTATAATATCCGAATACGAAATACGCTTTGCTTTAAGTACCTAATCACTACGTCAACGTCGTCAACGCAGTACCACGTTATCAGCTGGCAACGACTGTACCACCAATTAGCATTGGCCTTATGCTAATAGCCAATATGTAGGTAGCCACTCGAGAACATCATTTATTACCTACTTTATTCATTTAACATAATAATATCATGTACTTACCTACCAGCAATAAAGCAGCTACACAGTATTACAGTATAACATGGTTTTTTTTAGTCTGCAGTGTGAAAAGTAATTTTGCAGTGAAAATTGTTACCTTGTGCAGTGCAAAAAAAATAATTTCCGGGTGTTATATTTTATTGTAGGTATATTATAATTTATAATTTATAAACAATAATCGAGTAACTCCAAAAAAAAAAAAATGTTTCTATTAAAATTTAAAATTGTTAATATATAATTATATTATTCTTATTTCTTTATTACAACATATTTTTTTAAAAAACCAAAAAAAATATCTACCACCTTAACACATGCTTGTGGTGGTGGTAGAGAGTTTTATAACATAATATGAACAGTTTAATTATAAATAAAAAATGCGGACAAGAACTGAATAATTAATCTATACAATTAGAATACTTATAAGTTATAACTAATATTAAATTACCAGAATTCAATATAATTCCTTATTATTTATTCAAGTGTTGAAGATAACCAAATCTGAATTTTTTCTTTAATTCTATAGTTATCAATCTTGTAAAAAGATACTTTTAATTTGTATTTAAATAGAGATACAAATACATGAACTTAAAAAGTATTTAAATAGTATTTAAAGTAATTTTTTTAATAAGTATTTAAGAACAAATACAAATACTTAGAAAGTATTTAAACACAAATACTTATTTTAATACATTTGTTTTAAGTTTTACCTTTGGGTTCAATACTTTTTCTCAGATATTTTAACTTTAAATTTGACCATGAGATCAAACTCATTCAAACTGTACATATTAATTATTATTATATAGTTAATACTTAATAGTTCATATATTATAATGCATGTTCCATATTCTGGTACTAACCAAGGTAGGTACCTATATAATTGTATGATAAGTTAATAATCACCTAATGATCGTTTTAATTATTTATTGTATGAGAACTAAATAGATATTATAAGAACCTTTATCTCCACAACAAACCTAGCTTCTGGAGAAAATAATTTATATATAAATGCTATATTTCTGTAGTGAAAATATTTGTATTATTATGTATATATTACGTATGTATACTATTCAATTATTCAACAGGAAAAAAAATAAGATCATAGGTAAACGTAAAGTCGTAAACCGAATCAGCTGATCGAGTTTCGCTTCATTATTGTTCTATGTTTATAGTTTGGAGTTTCAAATAATTCACATCACAATAAACTAATATAGGCTTCAATGAAAAAAAAAAACAATAATATTTTGCATTTTGCATGTCGGGAATAAATTTACTAAATTTCAATGATATTACTCATGACTATATTATTATTTAGTCATGATATTACTTTTATTTCTGAGAAAAAATATAATAAATAATCATTTATTATTGAAAAAAAATCGATAAAGTATTTAAATAAAAGTATTTGATTTTCAAATACAAATACGTCCAAAACCGTATTTAAAATACTTTATTCAAAAAGTATTTAAAAGGTATTCTAAATACAATAAAATTATTTAAATACATTTACTCAAATACTTTTACTCAAATACTTTACAAGACTGATAGTTATACTCATGACTAAATAAACAGGCATGATCACTAGATTATTTCACGCATATTTTATACTTCCCCAGACTTGGAAGAAAAACTAATATCATAGAAAACTCTTAGAAAAAATTTTATTCCCACTACAATTACATAGGAATTTTACTGTTTCTGACAAGTCTGGGGAAAATGCGCAGTGATAGGAAAAATTGGTTTTTTGGTGATCATGCCAGTTTATTTAGTCATGGTTATACTATTCTCTTCTGTATAGAATAGGTCCCTTTTTATATCTACTGGCATTAAGCTGTAGTTTTTTTGACCTAGATAATCTATGCATTTATGACCAAACGCTTTTCTAAAATACTCCAATCTGACATCAAATGCCATATTTTCTTTTTAGATTTTGAGTGGAACGATGAATGTATTGATTTTACAATGATGTGTGTTTTTTTTTTGTGTCTGTGTACACGATAAGTAGTCGAAATAATGCTTCGATTTTCGACTTCAGTATCTTGTTCGATTGGAAAGTGAATATCGTTGGTGCATTAGGGAGGTCAAAATTTAAAATTTCCAGTACTTTTCAAAAGCGCCAAGAAAAACAAAAGAAAAATTAAGGAAAAACGGGAATTTTACGCAAAATCGATTTTTCAGAAAATTGAATTTGGTTTTTGGTGTAACTTTAAAACAAATGACCGTAGATACATGAAATTTTCACTGGTTGTTTATATTTGCATTTTCTATACACGATAACATTTTCAAAATATTTTGATTTATTTTGAACTGTTTAGGGACATTTTCATTTTTCATTTTTTTTTTAGTTTTTTTTCTAGAAATATCAATAAAATTTTATTTGTTGGTTAAAAAATATAATAATAGATGTTTATCTGTTTCTTAGCTAATGACTCATAAACTACAGGACCGTTTTCAATAAAAAATTATATCAATAGACTCGTTGACACTTGGAGGGTGTTTAAAGCGTATTTTTTTTAATGCCTATAATATGCTGAAGGGTAGCTTATTGATGAATTTTATTCTAGACGGGACACTGAATTAGAAACAAAATTAGAAGGTATTTAACGTAGATCCACAAATCATAATAAATTATAAAAAATATATAACTTTAAAATAATATTATCATCCTGACTATTTAATAACCCACAATATTATAAAAATAATCCCCCCCCTGGCCTTACACTACGTTTAACAAATTTTGAGGCCAATTTTTGTAGTTTTTGTACTTTTGGGCCCCTCCCCAAATTAAACCCTGGATCCACTACTGAAAGGCTCAAATATACTTAAAAATATTTGAATTCAATTAATATGAATAAGTATAAAATTAATAAGTTAATAAATATTGTAGGTATAGGTACCTAATATGGCTAATACAATAATACAGTACTTTTAAAAATGTATTATAAATTAATACCGTCTTACGTTTTAAATCAGAAAATGTGTCAATAATATCATTATATTTTAGTTGGTCAAGACATTTTTGTTTTATAGATATTATAGCTATAAGTAGGTTTTCTTTTTTGGACAGAGTGCTTCGAACATAGTATTTTTATAATTTTCAACATTGAAAATTAAATTTTAATCATTAACTCGTTTAAAATTTCATACATTAAATTGACTTCAACTAATATAGGTAGGTATATAGTAAAATTACAACAATTTAATGCTGTATTTACTGTATTATAAAGGTATGTGTTTTTATTTTAGTTTTAAATGTATTTTTATTATTTTATTGTTTTGACTCGCCAATGGTTATACTTTTTGGTCATAATAAAAAAATTAATCCAATCATTGTGAGTTTTTAAACATAAAAATAAATGTTTCTTAATGTCTAAAAAAAAATAAATCTTATGATTTAAAAATTTGTTATGCCCCTCAGTCGCCAAATTCCTGATCACGCCTATCATGGTACACAGTACGAAGACGGTGACGGAGTCGGGAGCACAATAACAGTATTATGATAATATTATCTATAATATTATTGTTGATGTGCTTGCAGAACACTGTGCTCCGCGACTAATTAATAAAAATTTGTGCAGTTGGTGATTAAAAGAATGTAGTACAAATATTAAGTATATTATCATTTTTTATATAGTGTACCTAATAGGGACTGGTTTCATTAAATTCAAATTAATATAGTAATATACCCAATTATGGATGAATTGGGCAGGTGGGCAAACCAGAGCTCCTCATATTTAGGTTTTGGCTATGAATATTAACTATCTAATAATAAATTAATAAACGGTTATATTTCACAAGTATGAAGTAGGTATGAATTTTTACATTACAATTTATATATTGAATATATACATAGTTAATGTATATATTTTATGATGAGGTATACTATATATAAATTGTGTTCTTACCTTATTTATTGATTTAATCATAAATCCCTAAATATTTATTTAATAGAAGTAGGTAAACTAAGTATAAAATATTGAATTATCCAACTCTACTATTAAAATTTTTTGTCTGATTAACAAATTTAAAGACTAGGTATATATAATATATAATATATATAGGTATACATATATATATATATATATTTAAGCATTAACGATAATATACTTATTTCATATTTCCTTTGTATAATAATATTATATGTGTTCAATTTGTTTAGTAATATTTACTATGTCAAGTAATAGAACCAAAAAGCGTAGGATCCGAGAAGGGCTTGACTCTGTTTTATATGAATTAGAAAATGTCAATGAAAATTGTGCAGAAAATAACACCGATTTTATAAATATTCAAAATGAAAATATTGCTGTTCAGTTACCTACCTAATACTTCTGAAATATGTCCAGCTAAGAATAAAAATATTTCAATTCAATTGAATAATCCTGAAACATCTATTCTAGATGGTACTGATAATTATTCCCATTGTAATCAATTATTAATACCTATTGGTGTACCTACTGCAGATCTATGCTCCGAAGTAAAATGTAGACTAGCTGAATTTGCAGTTAATTTTAATATTCCGCAAAATGCGATAAATGGATTATTGCCAATTTTTAAAAGTATACCTGGCCTTTCAGAAATGCCAATAGATGCACGATCAGTATTAAAAACATGAAAAGTATTAATTTATTTTATTTTTTATTGTTTAATAATTATAGGTATATAGGTACAATTAGAAATATTTGTTGTGCAAACATTATTTAAATGTTGATGTACATTTTTCAAATTTGTAGGTAAATACCTAAAGACTTAATTATGTTGACAGTTATATGTTTTGATGAAGAAAATTGTGTGGAAGTTGTCCCAAGTTATTGGTATAAGAATGGCTATTGTGCGTGGCCAAAGAGAAGTATAAGAAATCCGAAAAAATATGTTGTCCATCGTTCCGAACCAAATGAATTGGAATTTTACTATTTCAAGGCAAGGCCTATATCTAAAAATGATGGTAATTTTCTTGACTAATTATTTGTATAATTATATTGTAAATTGAAATGCTTATATTATTTTTATTATAATAGCTAGCCTAGAAGATGCACGTTCTAGACTAATAATAGCCCAAGAAACATCAGAGTTGTCAACTTATGAAGAAGATAAGTCAACTCGTAATCAACAACACTGTCGACCAACAAATGATATCATGGACTTAAAACAGCCGATAAAACAAAACCACCAAAGAGACCATCATACAATAGTAAAAATTGCCTGGAAATGCTATTGAAAATCCTCCTTCAGTAATCAATTTGAATAGTAGTGATAACAAAGGTGATTAATTTAATCAAAATAATTTATAAATTAAATAATTAGTATTATCCTTAATTATTTAGAAATTACTTAGATTTCTACTTTTTTCTAAAAACCATGTGATAAATGATTTTTATTTATATAGTGATATTGAGTAACGAAGACAACAATGATGACAGCAGTTATGACAACAGTGATATAGATAAAAGTTATAATCCAGAAAAACATTCAAAACATCTTAATACAGGTAAATAACCAAATTTAGTTTTCATCCATGTTTGCATTATAAATTGTTTGATTTTACATTGTGACTATTACAAATTACAATGCATGGAAATGATGAAACTATGAAACTAAAATACCTCACTAAATAGATTTAAAAATTCTAGATATTGTATAAAAATTATACCTAGGTATAAAAATTGTTTGTAAATTAAAAGCACTATTTATTTGTTCTCTCTGACCCATTATCGCAAATTTATGTTCAGCAACCAAACTTTTGTTGTTAGCTTAAGTATATAAGAGTGAATACTGACCTATTATTGAACTTACATTTATGAACATTATCTGTTTATTAAATTAATGTATTTATAATTTAATAACTCAATGTTTTCATGTTCAATTATATTTTTTTTAAGGTCATACTAATTATCAGATCTAAGGTTGTCCACCTTCAAAAGTTAAAAGAACACTTTTTGGACAACTCAACCATTCTCTTGAAGGTGCTTATTATACATTATACTTTAATATTTGATTTTAAATATTTAAACTATTGGTGTTGTATTATAGAGAGTGAGTGTTTATTATCTCCCAACAGCAGCAACAAAACGTCATCTGTTGCAAGGAAATTATCTGAGTTTCAAGACAAACCTTTTAAACCAAGCACATTTGTTGATAATGGTATTATTATATTATTATAAATAAGAGTCAAATTAGTATACTTTTATAATGATTTAGATGTATTGGAAATTAAGTCTTCAGAAAGAGCATATAAAACAACAGCCATATATATAATATATCTTCATCACCATTTAAAGTGTCATCGCCAGAAAACTACCAGATATTCACTCCTACTGTACATAAAGAAATATTGGCATTTTCAACTTCTGGGAACAATAATAATGGTTTGTATACATATACAAATAACTGGTTACAGACAACAGATGTTAATTTTTAATAAAGTAGTTCAAATTATTTAGAATATATTATCCTCAAAAATAAAAATTACTTAGGGAGACGTCAGACGTATACTTAAGGAAAAACAACTGTTTATACCTATTATATAAGTACTATTATGAATTCAGCTGTAAATCAATACTTTTTTCGTCTGATTTTAAATGCCATAATATTTACCTCCTGACTAACCTAATTTAAAAGTGCTCTATAACACTTTAAGTATAACATACAATTTTGTATTTAGCTTCCTGGTTATCTGAAACAAATTTATAACTCACATAGTTATCTCTAGGACCTCTTAAAAAAAAAAAAAATATTCAAATGATAGAAGTTATGAGCCCTGGTGATGAAGATTTACCAAACTAGGGGGGATGCTTTGGGTCCTTAGCACCCCCTAAGTCAAAATTAGCAGCCCATAAAAAATCATTTAAAAATTTGAAATTAAAAGTTGATAATTTATCGAATTACAATTATAACAGAATAGCATTGTTTATAATCAAAAATATTACTTTTTAGCTTTTAAATATGCACTTAAAAACTCCAAAATATGAGTTATAAATAGCATAACAAATCAGAAAATATGCATTTAACTTGAAAATATTAAAATTAATTAGAAAAAACTTAATTAATTAATTTTATTTATTAATTTTATTTTTTAAGACTGTTGGGCTCATAGACGTCAGGGACTGTCTATACTAGTTGAATTATAAACTGTTAACAAATATATTAAATTACTTAAATATGTTTGTAAAAGTGTACTTATAAGGTCTATTTATAATTTTCTAACCAAGTTAATCATTATTTTCAACATAATGTGATAATTTCCTATATTTTGTATAATATGTAGTTATATAATTATAAATATTATTATAATATACCCAAAAAAAGGGATTTCTAAATTAGGGAAATAGCAATAAAAACCCTAAATATTGTGCAAAAAAAAGCAAAATAATTTGTAAGTATTTGTGTGACATCAGAGAAGTGTGATACAATATATTTGTATCTTACTTTGGATGTTCTAGGACCAGGGTTGGCAAAAACCCGGGTTTTTTTCGAATAAAACCTCAAAAAACCCAATAACCAGATGGGTTTTAATAGATAAGTAATAATGGGTGGTTTTATCGGGTTTATGAACCGGGTTGTTCTGAAAATACCCATCCGTAAAATCGAAGTTTTTTTCCATGTAGGTATTAGCAGCAACGTTTTTTGATTTTCCCCTTATCTATTATTTTTTTACCAAGAATTTGTTATTTTGTTAATTGTAAATTTTTGTTTAGATTATTCATTAAGTATTTACAGGAAAGTTTTGTATTTAATACCTTATTACAAATAAAATATTGTTAACATTTCTATTGACCGTTGGTCTGTAATTCTTTCAATTTTTATTTTTAATTGTACCTAGGTACCTAATTAAAAAAAAATAATTATTAAATATTTTACAACTCAGTTAAATACTTTTTTTTTTATTTAACATAAATTTATACTTACAATCTGTATTCACAAGTTGTACAATAAGTAAATAGGATGTGGTTTGATTGACGGAGGGAGAAGTCAAAAAATGGTGGCACCCCGTAGCTTAATACTGAATTGGAAATATAAATAATACCCATAATTCATAAGCAAGGTAAATTTTTCTGAAAATTAACACAAATTAAAAAAAAATAAGAGTGAATTTCCATTTTATCCAGAAATGCAGCCTGGGTTTTTATGAGTTTTTTTCGAAATAATAAGTAGGTTTAATCTAGAAAATCAGTCCTGGTTTTTGTATAGGTTTTTTAAAATATCAAGTGGGTTTAACCCAGAAATGCAGCCCGGGTTTTCAAGCTGGGCTTTTTCTTTTCGTGGCAACCCTGTCCAGGACGAACCAAGAAAAATATGCATTTGCTAGAATTTCCAACCCTGCTTATAATATAACATTGTATCCCACCAAGTATGATTTTTGTTTTGTTTCTGTTTTTAAAAATAATCTGGACTGTACGGTGTTTGCTCGGAATTATGGTTTTTGTTTTGTTTTAGTGGTTGTGTTTACTTGTTTACATATTAGACAAATAATGGTGTTAGTTCCCATTGAGTCACAAAAAACCCTATAGCTAAGCACCCCCTTGTTCAAATGTCTAGTTGCGCCTTGTCGCGGACTACGACTGGGTGGTGTGTGCAGTCCGGACGTCGTAGGTTGACAGTAGTGGACGGTACACACTTAGTTCACTTATAAGATTACTAACACGTCGTGCTGATGCTGATGAACACAACACAAAGAGTGTCAAAGGGCGACGGTGTGGTTAACACCGTGCACGGGACGATATACGAATATGAACACTTATGTATAAGTTAAATTACAACGTGGCGACGGCGTACGTAGGCCGTGATTTTAAGGCGTTGACTAGGTTCGAGTTCGGTGACGGCGCGGTGAGTCCGGGATCTGGCGAAGATGGTCGTACTCACTTTTGAGCCGTGATTCGTGAAAACGATCGCGGTCGTTTTGGGTGCGTGATGCCGTTACGAAGGTCGGAGAACGAGAGAGATGCCGGCGGCCGGTACTCGTCCTATGCGACTTGCCTCCCCGTCCCGCCTTGCTTTTGCGGCGTGTAGGGAGAGTTGGCGATGTCGTGCTCGTAGCCCGTGGTGGAGGTTTGTGAAGTACAAATAGGTAGCTACGATACCTGTACTTTGTACTGGTCGTCGGTTGCGTACCGTATCATACCCCCTCGCCACACGGGGTACATTCGTACCGGTGCTGGCGACCATTGTGCGGTGTAGCTTGCGCTACCCCTTGCTTGTGCTTGGGGTAGGCTTGCCTTATCCGTGGCCCTTTACTCCCTGATTAGGGATGTTGCTGGGGTGAAGAAGGGTTGTGGATATACTGATTCCACTTCCGGTAGCCCCTCCATGAACTGACTTCGCCCTTTCAAGAACGCGTCGTCGGAACTTTGCTCCGTGTCCGTCGGTTGTTGGTGGAGGGCTTGGCTGGTTGTCCCTCCATGCTCCTCGGACGTTTCGTCCTTGGTTGCTGGGGGGTCAACCTCCATTGTCTCTAGAGGGGTTGGCTCGGTCGGTGGGCAGCTCGTAGTGTCCGGGTCCGAGGTTGGTAGGGGGCGCTTGGCAAGCCTATGTGCTTGCGTTGCCTGGAGGTTCCCGTTACAACCTCTTCTTGCTTAACTTTTGGAACTTTTTCTTTATCCGTGCCTGCTGCGCCTCCGTCCTTACCTTTACCACTGGTGTTGGGTTTCCCCCTACCATTCCGGGTACCGGTGCTGGCTCCCTAAATATTATTTTACTTCTCATTTATTTTACATATTATTAACACTTATAAGTTATAATTAACTAATTACGTAATTAATTTTAAATTTGTAAGTCACACCCATAATTGATCACAAGTGTGGCTCACTTCGGTATTATTCCTGATACTTTTAAAGAACCATACACATACACCCAAGTTACTATACTTACAGTTTGCATCCATTTTCAAACAGAAACATATACGAAATACAATTAATATAATTTAAAATAAAAGTTCATCGTAAATTAAGATTTGAAGGAACACACAACACAAAAATAAATGTTCTTTACATTTTTTGAAATGTTAATTATTGTTCACATAATGGAAAAAAAAATTTAATTTACGGATAAATGTGTGATATTACGTATGTAGTTTAACTGTTTAAGATGATAAAAGTATCATAATTTCAACGATTAGTTCTTTAAGCATTAAAAATCTTGAAATTTTTGTTAAACGGGACGTTATGGCGATTTAAATATAAAATTCAAATTCAAAAATATCTCTTTTAAGATTTTTAATATTTATAAAACTAAACGTTATATTGAAATTCTAATACTTGTATTGTCTTTAACACATATTACCACACATATAGACTTAAATTAAATTTTTAGGTTGGTAAATCGTGGTGTGAAGCGAGCAACTTTTACATGTATAAGTCTATGTTGTACGGGTAATTTAACCGTGTTGTATTGTTGCTGGCATACCTATATATTTTGTCATGAACGTTACGACTTACGACCACGATTAAAGATATACAGGTTGCACATCGCCTTATAATAAACGGCTTTCAGATTGATTTACAAAGTGACTATATAAAACACCTGTTAATAATGAACTTCTAGCGCTTGATGTCAACCATATGTGTCGGCATTTAGAACTAATTTTACACCTATATATCTATAATCGATTAATTGTAATACTACCACTTTGAGCGCTACTGGTTAATTTTTGCTAGTCATTTCATTCACGAATGGATCTTCGCAGGAAAAATCACAAATTATTCCAATATGGCGTCACTACACTGTTATCACAAAATAATATTAAAATATACTTGTAAACTATAAAGTCAATTATAATATTTGTTAAATTCAAATAATCGTCGTAAAAATTAAGTTCAATAATAGTTAAAATAAAAAAGGTAAATTTAAATTCATTGGCATTACGTAATTAATAATAATAAGTAAAATATTTGTTAAATTCAAATAATCTTCATAAAAATTAAGTTCAATAATAGTTTAAATAAATAAAGTAAATTAAAATTCATTGGCATTACATTGTTCTTTTTTTAAAAAAAAACTATGGTCATTTGAAGAGTGGATATTTAATACTTCACCACTTAAATCTTCCATTAACGAATCTCTTATTAGTTGGCTCTCATTTCTAGATAGTGTGATATCCATTAAATTATTTTTATTATTTTTTTTTTATTTTAAAACGGTTTTGTTTTTCTATGTTTTGTTTATTATTACTAGTATTAACTGGGGTAGTGTCTGAAGAAATAATGGACATTATTTTATCACAATATTTAATTATTGTCTTTTTGTTCTCTTCATTTAGATTCGATCGATTGTACATTTAGTTTACCTTCCATAGTATTGAAATTAAGTGATACCATTTCAATGTCCGTATTGTGTTCAAATGACAAATGTTTGAAATTCTTTCATTGTTTTGAATGATAGTTCACAATTTTCGTAAGAACATTTAATATGGCCTAATTGACTACCATTATGTGAATTTATGTGTTTAATTATTTTAATTTTTGAATTAAATGTTTTACCACAGTCATTACAAGTATAAATCTTTCCTTTACATTCCTTCCAAAAAAAAAAATATTGAATAATATACATTTTAAAAACAAAATGTTATATCAATGAAATACCTTTAATACAATATTGACGTGTTTTTTTTGCATATGTTTATTCAAATTATAAATTGTTGAGTACTTAGAATTACAGTAAAACACACATTACTAGAACTCATAATAAATAATAATAAATGTTAAAAAAAAATTAAGTAACCGTTCACTTAGTAGTTTGTATTATATTATAAATTGAAACAGTCATGGTATTGGTATTATGTACTTCTGTAAAACTGATAATGTACAATTATATTTCTCTTTTATCTCATAATAATTGGGTGTACCTATATATGTCTCTGTAATTTATAGTTTTGATGAAGTCACTCATTGTAAGCTTTATTATCTGGTTATGTTTGGGATTTCCTATTGTGCACAAATTGTATTCTATTATAAAAATAGAAAGCAAAGTATCCATACTAGAAAAAAAAATATGTAGTGTAACAATAATGTTATATCTGCTCTTGAATCAAACATTTTATAAGAAATCAGAAATGTGTACTTATTAATTTTGACTAAAAGGTACATTGTAACCGTTCATAACTTTTCGTAGACTCTAAATATTATACGATAATTGTTGCATATCGACATAATCGAGAGTATATGAAGTTAGTCAATAATACTAGTGTATCTATTATTAATATAAATTTTGGCTTTTACACGACCTACATATTGCCTATTATTGCTAGTTATTGATTTCAAAAGTTGGCGGTAAAAATTCAATGTTATTTTGTGATACCAGTGTAGTGACGCCATATTGGAATAATTTGTGATTTTTCCTTTCTAAGATCCATTCGTTTTCATTCACGCCTTATCAGATGCCGATGGGCAACCTATATATCTTTAACCATGGTTACGACGTTTAAGAGAAAATTATACGGTAAGGTGTGGGTGGCCACACTGCGCTTCTTCATTTTATTGCTTCTTTTTCACGGTGTCGGAGCGTCATGTTTTTTGTCATTTTTCGTTCGTTCGCGCCTAAACTGTGATCGTATAATATATTTTATATCGTTTTCCTGTATCGTCGCACATTTTCCCTAGACATTGAAAGAATAATATAAAATATTGCATAGTATAATATTATACATCTCGGTGGTCTGCAAGCACTTTTACATCATTATTACTACCTGTGTGTCTTCTTGTCAATTTTTTATATTATCCAGTAGCCATTTATAATTTATTAAATATTGGAGTATTCACTATTCCGGTATGTGTTGTAGGTTTCTGACTTGTGATTACGTTTCACTTTCACTACCTATATTCCAAATTTAAATATTTGTTACTTCACGTCTTCTCGATTTACTAAATATTAATAATAATATTAAATAAATCAGTGCGAGTTTTCTTAGTTATTATTTTAATTATTTAATTCAATTTTTTCAACGATGGCCGAAGTCGTAGATGACATAATTAAAACCTTAAACGGAACAAATGGTACGGACACGGAATCTGTAATAAAAATAATACCGGCCACCATCGAAGGTATGCTGATTGCAAACACCAGTTTAGCGGTCATGTCCTCAGTGCCTATTTTCTTTGCCTCGTTCCGATCAGTAGAACTACACATTAAAAATAAAGTTGGTATTTCAATTAACTTATTTTTAAATAGCCATTATGCTAATATCTTGATTTCTATTCCAGATGAAAAAAGAAATACCAGAGTCCATGGCAGAGCCCATGACAGAGTCTATGACAGAAAAAGGGGCTATGATGTTTCCAGTGACTTCTATTGGAAATATCTTTATGCTCTACATCATTATTAGTGTATGTAACATATAGTCTTACAGATAATAATATTATGTTAATTTGTTCATGCATTATTTATATTGAAAGTATATCTATCTTCTTTATTTTAAATATAGATATTTTCTAAGGAACACATAAATCTATTAGTGCCTTTAATTTTTTATCTTCTTGGAGTGGCAGCTATAAGTGGTATTTTAGGGTAAAGATCTATTACATTATTTATAAGATATTTAAATTACAAACTATTGCTACAATATATTTATTTTTTTTTACTTAGTACTAAATTCTACACCATGTTACCAAAAAGTATACCTAAAACGAAATACCAACTGCAGATTACAGAAGGCACTGGTGAAAAAAAATATGATTGGATAAATGTAAAATTTACACTACATGATGTGTTATTTTTTGTATTGTGTGCAATATTAGGAACGTTTTGTATAATTAGCAAGGTATTATTTTATTTCTGGTTATATCCTAGTATTAACATATCTATTTATATAATTTTTTTTAATTTTAGCATTGGATTGTAAACAATATATTTGGCTTGGTATTTGCTATAAATGGAATGGAATTCTTACACTTCAACACCATTAAAGTTGGATGTATCCTCTTATGTGGTCTATTTGTCTATGATATATTCTGGGAGTTTAATAGCAACATTATGGTTACTTTGGCCGAATCTTTGGATGGTCCTATCAAATGTTAGTTTTATAACTTTTAATACATCAATTTTACATGAATTATTCTAATTTTTACCCATACATAATGATACACTTTATTTCATTATAATTTATTAATACTTTATTGCAGTTGTATTCCCTCAGGATTTAATGGAAAATGGTATTTTGGATGCTAAAAACTTTGCTGTGTTGTACTTAGACGATATTGTTATCCCAGGAATATTTATTGCATTTATGTTAAGATTCGATCATAGGTATATACTTTTATTAAATTAGATTAATAAATTAAAGAGAATACATTTTAATAAAATTTTTTATTTTATAGCTTAAATCGTAAGACAAATACATATTTCATTGCGACATTTTTGGCATATTTTTTGGGATTACTTACCGCTGCATTTGTCATGCACGTATATAAATCAGATCATTCAGCTTTATTATACTCGGTACCTGCATGTTTAATTACTCCTATATTATTGGCTTTAGTATGTGGAGATCTGAAAACTTTATTCAGGTAATGTTAACATTAAAAGTATGCATATAAATAATTATTTAATATGTTATTAAGCATTACTATTATTGAGCTAGTATGTTTGATTTTATTTGAATTTTTAAATAATTTGTTTGAAGACAAGTATAAAAATCTTGAACAACTGATATTGTCATAATGTCTATAGTTGAATTAACTTTTGATGATGAATAAAATGTGGTATTTTGGCGACGGGCACAAAAGATTAAGCGCACCGGTGTCTGTGAGGACATTCAGTCTGGTGTTCAGGCTCTGTTATATGTTAAGTAGATATGTAGGTGGCGTTCCTGGGTAAATGGTGACAGAGCAGTTCGTGATTTAGTCGATGATACCTTATGTCAGTTGAGATGAACAACCATAGTGCTTGGTGCTTATGTGTGTCGCCACAGTATTTTAGTATTTTGAATTTTAAAACCATAATGACTTTATATTTGATAAAATATGCTCTTGTAAAGAATGTATTTTTATAAGAAAAAAATATATTAAAATAATAAACATATAAATATTTTACAGTTATGAAGATCATAAAATGGAACCAGAAAATTGAAATAATCTAAATGTAAATTTTACTATTTCTCTTGTTATATTAAATTTATGTTTTATTTCCTCGACGTTATTTTTTTTTTTTGAAATTTATAGTATTATCATAATTTCTAAATTAGAGGATCCATTATCCATTAAATTTGATATTGAGTGAGTATTAACTTTGAATACATCATACATGCCACTCAAAAACAAATTTTACAAATTTCCCAACAACTGAACATAAAATATAAAAATTATTTGTCGGGGCAATAAAAAATAAACTAAATTGATGTATTCAAATGAACTTATTCAGTTTATTATTATTTAAAATAAATTAATCTACCAATGTAATACATTATTGGTACACTACTTATATTATATTATTATATCATTATTCATTGTATTTAACTCTTCCTAATTATAATTTTATAAATGTCTTTTCATGTGATATACTTACTAATTCTATATATAAAACATGATTGTTAATGTGCAATTGGAATTCAGATAATTTTTTATAAATATTTACTAACTATTTTATTAGATCAATTCTAATATAATGCATGTTTTTTTCTCTGTTTTAATTAAATTAAAAAATTTATGTTTATGGTCTTCCAGCTTTAAATTAGTTTAATCTAAATTTTGTTTATAAAATTGTGTTTATATTTTCTTGGAGTGTTATTACTTATTACAATTTGTGATGTTTTTATCTATTAGTGAAATATACATTATACATTTTACCAATAGGTATTAATATTTTTATTGTTTGAAACTTTGAACCCAATGTGTAATTTATCTTAAGTTAAAATCTGTATAGTGATAATTTAAATAAAATTTTTTTAAATTTATTTGGAAACTTGTTGAATGTATTTTTTCTTAATATTTATTATTTAAAATAAATTATTATTACTATTAAATTGGTTTTAATAGTAATTTTTACTTCTGACATAATAATATGACCTGGTGATTTAATTCGATGAATTAAATAATAAATATAGGTAGTTATATATGTAACGTGTGTCCATAATACTAGGTACACTATATAACTCAGTCACCTACCTATATTACTCAATACGCTATATATATATTAGATTTCTGTCTGTGGGAGATTGATGATCCAACAGTCTAGATTCATGTTTTGCAAACATAATTCAAAAATATGAATAGACTAGAGTACTGAGTAATATGGGTAATTTAATTATATAGTATACGGTATACCCTGTTTTCGTGGACACTGGGTGTATATTATATAAAAAATATAATTACAACCCCTGAACCCACTATACGGCCTACACACAGTCTTCTATACTACCAACACCACTGTAGTTGATTGCTTTGAGATTTTGTATGTATAATTTGAAGATGGATGAGTTTTCTGAAGGTGGAGCTACAATTAAATTTATCGAAATGTTTAATATTGCATTTGATATGGTACTAAGTTCACGCTGGATTAATTGTATAGGTTATAAAAATCATTGTGTAAAGAGAATGTGAATAATATTTTTATATTTAAAGACAAATTCACCAATTACATTAAAAGTCTTATGGTAAAATAAATTGATGGATTTGTAAATATTTTAGATTCCAAAGGAAAAACGGGGTTTATATTATTTATTAGAGAATTACATAGTGCTTTAAAATTGTATAATAATTTTGTAGACTCAGACAAATTAGAACACTTAAAGTTGTACAAATGTAGTGAGGATCACATTGAATTGTTTTTTGGCACAGTAAGAGCATCAGGAAGTCATAATAATAATCCAACAGCACAACAGTTTCGAGCTGCATTTTGACTTATTTTGAGATGTTTAAGGACATTTTCAGCTTCCATTATTTTAGTTTTTTTTTTTCTATAAATAACAATAAAATTGTATTTGTTTGTTAAAAAAGCTTGAAAATGTAATAGAAGGCTCCTAGTATATAGTTTCAAAGCAGATGAAAAAAATTAAAAATCCATGGTCACAATTTTTTTTTAAAATCGAAGATTTGCAAATTATTTTGAGTTAGAAATTCATAAGAATTTTTCTTTTTAAATCTGAGATTTAAAAATGTAATACAAGATTATTCATAAGTTTGTCTATCTTTATCAAAAAAAAAAAAATGTCTTCATTTAAATCAAATTTAATTTTTATGAACGTTTGAAGTTCATATTTTTAATATATTGGATATTCACTCAATTTCTCATGAAGCGATTTAGTAATTTTTTTGTTATTCAAAAACAAATAATTGTAGATACATGAAAATTATACTGAATGTTTATATTTCTATATTCTATACACCGTTATTATGTTTTTTACATTATTTACTCCAAAAATATTGTTATTCAAAAAATTGTAAAAAAATTAACTACTTGACCTAAATAAACATTTTTTCATTGATATGTGTCAAAAATTTGATTTACACATTGACTATTTTGAATTATTCAATTTATATTAAATAATTTAATTTAAAGTTTGAAATTTTTGGATATTAAAAATTAAAAATTAAAACTGTTATACTGTATTTGTACCGCAAGCATCGATAAATTATATTTATATATGCAATACGCGAGTATATATATATATATGTTTAGATAAAAATATGTGTTTAAATATTGGATTGAAGCAAAAGATTTTTCATTTGTGAGCGTTTTTTTGTTACGCCTCATATAGGTACTAAATTTAGGAAACAAACAGCCATACTGAATACTGAATTTCATTAAGTGTTAAAGGAATAACAAGTAGTTACAATAAGCAATAGAAGAAATTCATAGTTAGGTCATATTTATTTCTGAAATCAACCCATGGATAATAACAACTAGGTAATTTGTTTACCTGTTTATACAGTAAGTTCTACCTATATACTAGTAGTATACTAGTACTAGTAAGTAGTAGTATAGGTAGTATAATACTACCTATAGCAAGCTAGAAATGGATGGTCAGAAATACGGTGGACTACAAAAATGTATTTGTACAAATAGGTACAGCTGATTAAATTGTGTAGTACTATTAAATTAAATATTTTATCAAGAGTTTTATAATTAATTCTTTATTGCATTGCATTGACTATATTTTCCCTTCATAAACTAAGCTGTACATTATACACAGGCACAATATTTTTTGCTGTTGAACTTTGGTTTTTAATATATATCGGTCAGTCTCCAGGTCTCCTATCTTTCAAAGGTGGCAACCCTATTTGCAGCTAGTCTATTCATGTGACAATATAGTTGGAAAAAAATAATTAGTAGAATAAAACTTAAACCATAGGTACTATCTAGGTACCTAGGTATATAAAGTTCAAATAATAATCATTGTTCTATATCTTTCATTGTAGTCTATCTCTGATCAAGGTACCTAATACCATAGTTAGGAAGTCAAAGATTAAACATTTATTTGTTATTTCATTCTAAATAATAGTAAATAGACATAGGTACCTCAGTGAGGCACTAAGAAAAGTGTGTAATTGTATGAAGCATAAATTAAAAACCAAAATGAAGAAAAAATCAAAATGTTTAAATGTTATTTTTAACTATTATGTTACAAAGTGTTTTCACCTTCACCATTAAATATTTACTAATGGTACAATTGTGGCAGTACAAAATAAAACAGATACCTAACTTGTAATAGTGTATAATAATTAATAGTAATATATTAGGTATACAGGGATGGGCAAGATACACAAAAATCAGTATCGGGATACTAGTTACTAGATACTTGGATTTTGAGTATCTAGATATTAGATACTTACATTTTAAGTATTTAGATACTTGATACTCGATACTTACATTTTAAATATTTAGATATTCAATATATTTAAAAATGTTAGTCATAGCCTATGACGCATACTATTTTTTTTTTATTTTTTTTATACAAAATTATATAGCTTTTGAATCTAGACAAATGCATTTAACTTTAAAATTCCAAATATTAGTTAAGTAAATAAATAAATAATAATAAAAAGGTGTTCTGCTGTACAGTAGGTTACAAGTGGGTCACTGTATAATGGATAGTATTAAATTTGAATTCAATGATATAATATTATTGTATAAGAAAAACGATTCTGAGCGGAGACGGTATGGCAGTCTAGGTATAAGACATATTATATACTTATCCATGGTATTAAAAAAAATTGACCTATAATAAGTACATACAATAAATTGTTTGGAGAATTTGGTCCAAGGATACTTCACTCTGGGTAATATATTGGTCGTTTTATTTGTTCACAAAAAAATAATGTAACGACCAACGACTGTGTTGTGGACAGTATGTGTGCGAGTTATCTGACGAGATCACAACACACAATGTCATGCTATCGTCACATGCTAGATTGTCCTCATTTTATTTTGCATTATGTTCACTCTTTATTGAGAATAGTAACATTTTTAATCGTTGACAGTTCTATGATGGCATGAAGAAACGGTCAACATTCTGAAATGATTTATTACTGTCTTGAGCTACCAGTTTAAGCATCAAAATCCTGGCTAAGCGAGTTTGACCAGTCACACAAATTGCCAGTAAGAACTAATTGTTCTTCTGATATTTTATTGTCTAATGGATGACTATAATTCCAACTAATTGATGAATAATGAATCTTGAGCAAACTTATGATTTAGGTATTTAAATAAATAAGTAACACAACTATATGATTTTGTAAATACTGTAATATAACTATAATATACAATATATTAAATAAATTAAATAAATTAAATAAATTAAATAAAAACACATTATGATTCTAAATTAATAAATATTATTAACATTTTCAGTTGGAGCAGAAATTGAATAAATTGAACATACAAAAGCAACTAGACATGAAGAAATCACATTTTGGAAAAGAATATTAAAAAGTATTCAATGGTAATAGATTAATTGTTAGGGGAATACCATAAAACCATAATATAAATAATTATAAATAAATAAATAAAATATATATTTTTGCCCTCCCCCCCTAACATTTTACCTAAAATTTACCTTATTTTACCCCCCGAATTTGGTGCAATAACCAGTTATGATTTGGACGTAACTTGTTATTGCACCGACTAAAAAT